TTAAAACAGTCTGTTAGAAGAGTATCTGAAACTTAGGTCCATCTTGAAAAAACAGTGCTAGGTAAGGATTCGAAAAACGATACGGAGAAGTCTGAAATAATTTCAGTTTCTTCCTGAATCATCTGTTATACTTTTATGTGATTATTAATGTTCCTGAATGTAGTCTGTGCTTACATTTTACACATCTAATGTACTAACGAAAGAAAACAGTATTAATCTAGATGATAGCAGCAGAGGTTCAACTGCAAACGGCCACTAGTGTGTATGCACCTCAAGTTGATATTCACGTCGCTACTCATTTCGACTTCTGGCCAGTAGAATTAGAGCTAGTAGAACTATTCTTAACGACTCGATTTACATTTTAAACAAATTTTGACCTCACTGAAAAACCTTGGGCGACTCCTTTGAATAAGTTTTCACTCGAGACGCTTTGAAAACCTGAAGGTTCAAGAAGTAAGCTACATTGGTGAGCCTCAACGTACCTCAGTTTACTAGTCGAAACGGCAGCGAAGCAAGAGGCACGCTTCAAAAGTTTCTTGCTGTAAAATAAATTGGCAAATGTTTCCCTTTGAAATAATGATGAGTTCGGCAGCTTCTTCGACAGGAAAAGTTTCTCTTTCTAAGACCATGCATGCGCAATAGTGCTTTATCAAAGGCAATTTCCCCGAAAGGTACTTTCCCGAAATAACGAGAAACCTATGACAATGGCTACAGACAGCATATATTATTGATTGGCAGAAGTGGCGTGATCACTTTTCTTAGAAGATACAAAGGCCAAAACGGATAACTTTCATTTTCGAATAGAGCTCCAAACATTTCAATATTGGCAAGTTTGAGCTAAGTAACAGGTAAGCTGTTTCGTTTCAGCATCTATCGGTGAAATTGCGATTAATTTCTTTCGCAAATCTACGTCGATCCGGAGCTCTTCGATCATAGCTGCGAAATTAAACTACGATATGTGCGTTCTGCTAGACATGCAGAAAGGCTGCTAACACGTGGTTTTGAAGTTATTCTATGTATGTCAATGCAACTTATATAAAATTTAAGTTTTTGCATGGTCTTAACAGGGATAAATTTCCCAGACGTGACGATGAATGAAATTTTCAATTATTTCTGTGCTGGGGTTGTGGATCTGTCACTGTATTCCGAGTAGAATAAACATCAGATGGAATTCGTTTATTCCGCTTAATGAAACGTACTTCCTGCTTCAAATGCCACGGAATCATAGAGAAACTTCATAACTTATTAAGCGTTTTCAGATTAAGAGGACCTATTTTGTGTCAGGAACATTTTCGTTTTCCACTGAAAACAGTTTCGAAGTTCGTCAGAAAGCGGAAGTTAAGGTCAAATAATCAAAAGGAGGCTGCTTTCGTTTTAAATCCAGGATTCCATTTCCTTGAAACAAGTTCATTGAAATCTTTGCAATTTGTTTCGAAGCAATTCAACATGTTTGACATAAATGAGGTTATTTAAACACATGTAACTCATTTTAACAATTTATGAGGTTTTGCAATTGTGACGTGCTTCGCACAGGCAATTCACGTGTTCATTGACAAAGACGACCTCTCAGTCAGAGTTAATTTTAAATTGCAAATTACGATAATTGAGACTCCATTTTCATAATCTTCGCACCCTTTCATGTTAATTCTTCGCGCCAAGATCGCTTTACCTTGTTAATAGAGTCTGACTACACGGAAACGTCAGATTTTATCGTTCGTTTTTACCGTTTTATGTTTAAAAAAGTCTCTTTTAATACCAAATACATCATTTTAACAGCTACGGTTTTTGTAAACAGATGAGACGCATTTGCGGTTACCTGAAATGTTTCGTTTATGTTAGTCTGAGAGAGGTTTCGGTGGTTAGGTGCACATACTTAAGAAAGAAAAACAATCAAAACGATGAAGTTCACGCGGGA